CTGAACTGTAAACTTTAATGCAGTTACTCATTTAGGGATTTAAGTTTTCATGATGCAGGCCCAAGAGTTGGGGCTCTCTGCTACCCACCCCTCACTGGATCTAAGTACCCATCATGTATACTTTGTGTAGCATATATGAGAATAGATAGCAGACCAGCTCTTTTGACAGGTCAGGATCATAATGTCTTCCTGTTGGTGATGGCTTGTCTTCAACCCTAGAGGAACATGAAGGGAGCTGTCAAGTCTGAGATAAAGAAGAAAGAATTGGAGTCTCCAGGAGGGAAAAAAGAGTCAGTGGTTGAAAATTCATTCTGGTTGGAGGTGCCAAATCCTGTCAATGGAGGGACTATCCACTGATGGCTGAGTAGCATTTCCAGTTACATCTTGAGTATAGCACAAACAAACAAACAAATAAATAAGGTGCCATCTTCTTCCTTTGTGGTTTGAGATCTCCCAAACCCAGGGCTGAATGGGTGGAGGTGATGAGCCACATTGCACACATACTACAAGGTGCCCACATGAACATTCTCTTTTGCCTCTGGGCCCCTTGCACTGAAAAAAGCTGGTCTGGTTTAGATGCCATCCATAGAGGAAGTCATGTTACTTTCCCCCCAGATCAGTACCCCTAGCATAATTTGTCAGTGAACTGAGTAAAGGGGTGGCAAGGTTCACCAGGCTTACAGACTGAGTTCAGTGCCACTGTTTAGGACATCAGAGCTTTCTAGTATGTAAATACCTCTTGTTAAGAGGCTCAGCTCAGGAGCCAGGAAGCACAGCTCTGGATGGGCTTCTTGGTGGTCCTTGAAGGGCTCAGGGGCTGAAAGTGTCCCAGGAGTTGGGGGATTACCCGAGTGACAACTATCTTTATATCCACAATGCTAGTGCAAATCTGAAGCTATCCTGGTAGAGTCTAAGGAAAGCATTCTTTTTAAAAAGATTTTATTTATTCATGCGAGGCACCCAGAGAGAGGCAGAGATATAGGCAGAGGGAGAAGAGGCTCCCCGAGGGGAGCCCAATATGGGACTCGATCCTGGGACCCCAGGATCACGACCTGAGCTGAAGGCAGATGCTCAACCACTGAGCCACCCAGGCGTCCCATGGAAAGCATTTTTAACAGTTCAGAGTCTTGTCCTTTTGGAAGGCAGTCTTGTTTCTCCCGTGTTAGGGTGGAGTGACTGGGAAAAGGTTTAAAAGCAACCTAATGGCAAAAGCTCAGGTTGAGGAGCCATGCAAGGAGTAAACTTTGTTCCTAGGTGGGTAGAGCCTAAGTGGATGGAGCCTAGGTGGACAGAGTGGTGAGTTGACGTCAGAAGGCACCACGACTGGCCACATGCTTGGCTGTGTTTGGCTGGAGGGTGGATGTCAGGGTTGTCACTAGCTTGTCCCAAACCAGGTCTGAGCAGTGCAGAAGTGTTTTACGCTACCCCTGGTTCTGCCCTCAATACACAATACACCTCTGGTCACACTGTCTGGAAAATTTGTTACTCAGTATTCTTTTCAGAGAATGAGTGGCCAATCGCATAACCTTGAGATAATGTGAAGAAATGTGCTCAGGTCTGCAATACCTGTGTTGCCCCTCACTTCCTCATCTAACTGAAATGAACAGTAAGCTTCCTTCCTTGTTTTAACAGACTCTTCCAGCAGGAGGCAGCACGAACTTGAGTATTGCAGCTGGAAACTAAAAAAACAAAAAACAAAAAACAAAACCTTTCCTATAGAGAATCTGAGAATAAGGAACAAATGGCAGCTAAAAAGTCTGCCTTTAAAAACCAGTGTCCTGTGCTATAGCCTCTGAACAGCTGGGGGAAGGAGGAGTTCACTTCCACTCTGGCCAGGGGGGTCCCCCTCTGCAGAACACACTCAACTCGTATCCTTTGGAAAATATACATTCAAGGAAACCTAATCTTCATGGGTTGTACTTTTCCCCAATTAATCTGTCAGTTCCTCAGCTTCTCTTGATTTAACCTGCTGCAGATGAGGAGGGAGGCTTTCTTCTAGTTATTTCCAGAAACTGAGGGGTCTACTGCCTGGCACTGGGAAGCTGGCTCTTCTTTGCAGGATTCATAGTCCCACAGCAAGGGGAGTGTGTCCTCTGCTTAGGATGGCAGGGAGGGGTGGCTATGCTAAATTCTGAACCTTAGGGGTTACCTGAGTGACTCAGTGGTTGAGCCTCTGCCTTTGGCTCAGGTCCTGATCCTGGGGCCCTGGATCAAGTCCCACATCAGGCTCCCCACAGGGAGCCTGCTTTTCCCTTTGCCTATGTCTCTGCCTCTCTCTGTGTGTCTCTCTCATGAAAAAATAAAACTTTTTTAAAAAAATTCTGAGACTTGGGGATCCCTGGGTGGCTCAGCGGTTTAGCGCCTGCCTTTGGCCCAGGGCATGATCCTGGAGTCCCAGGATCGAGTCCCGCGTTGGGCTCCCTGCATGGAGCCTGCTTCTCCCTCTGCCTGTGTCTCTCTGTCTCTCCATCATGAATAAATAAATTAAAAAACTTCAAAAAAATTCTGAGACTTATCTCAAGGAGGCCAGGATTGTGATTTCAGCAATGAATATGCAAGACAAGAATCACATGCAGTCTCAATCCTTAAGTGTATGTTACCTCTGCAAGAATGCCAGTTCCTGGAAAGCAAGGTTTGTCATGCTCACTGCTCTGTTTCCAGTGCCTGAGAGTGCCTGCACACAGGCACATGGTAGGCACTCGATAAATAGCCCTTGCATAAATGAGAAAGGCTACCAATCTTCTTTCACTCCTTGGTTTTCACCCCCAATCCCTCTAATTCTAAGCAATCCACTGAACATCTATCTGGAAAAAGTGCCTGGTTCTAGTTATCTTCACCTGATTCACCTCAACACTAGCCTGTCACTGCCTTATTCTAATACCTCCAACCGACATCCTAGTTGCCCTTGGCTCAGAATCTATAGAGCCCGGACCTCAGTTCCACCTAGTGTGGTATAAAGGACATGCATGGTTTTTGGAGCTGGACAGATAGAAGCTGGAATCCTAATTCTGACACACAGCCACCACAGACGTAAGTAAAATGGGAATAAAAACATCTACCTTAAAAAAATCTAGGGACGCCTGAGTGGCTCAGCGGTTGGATGTCTGCCTTTGGCTCAGGGCATGATCCCCGAAGTCCAGGATCGAGCCCCACATTGGGCTTCCTGCATGAAGCCTGCTTCTCCTTCTGCCTGTGTCTCTGCCTCTCTCTCTCTGTCTCTCATGAATAAATAAATAAAATCTTTTAAAAAAAATCTACCTTATGTTACTGGGACCACGAATAGTGGCTTTGTAGTAAAGCTCCAGGTATACAAAAAGCATTCAACCAATGGCCTTTTCCCCCCAATAATGTAATCTTATGCTATCTAAATTTACCGTGTGCTACCCAACACTTTGGAGCCTCACATGATATTCCTATGCACACTGTATCCATTCCAGACACCGGATCTCTGCACATGCAGATTCCCTGCAGCCCACCTATCCTTCACAGTCTTCAGCTGCACCCCTCCCACTCTCACTCCTCTTATTTGCTCTTCATCATGCCTCCTCCAACTTTGTCCTTGAGTGGTGGTCTTGAAATTCTCCTGCATTGCCTTAAGGTCTAGCACTCTGCTGGGTATGGATTAGAGGCTTAGCAAAGTCTTATTAAATCAGAAGGAGGTTGGGTTTAGCTGAAAAAGACCACTTGCTGGTCTATTAATGAACCCTGTCCCTTCCCGAAGTACTGGTTTTCAGACCAAGGAATCCCTCAGTGTCCTTGGGCTCTTCCTTGGGTCGTTTCCATGGTAAATGTCTCATGATGGGGTGCTAGTAGACAGATGACCTCGTCTGGCTTCCTGGGAGTCAGAGGGATGCCCACAGCTGTGCCAACAGTAGGATGGAGGTTGGAAAATCACTGGCGGTTCAGGCCACTCCTCCACTTGTACTCTCTGGAAACATGCCACTATGGCTGGGCCCTTCCACGTGCCCTCAGCAGGCACATGGATTCCAGTTGCCTTCATAGCCCCTGTGAGGGGGACTCCAACACAGCTGTAGAAAAGGCCAGGCAGAGGACTTTACCACCAAGGCCTGCTAGCAGCTCCCCAAATGGCAGATCGACAAGTGTTATGAGTCCAGAACTGTAAGGTCCAGGTCAGCCATTGCCACTTGGCCAAATGCCATCCACCCCCAGCATATCCTATAATGAGAAACACCAGCTGTTTCTCAACAATCTCTCTGCCTGACATTCAAGGATTTAGAAATATGACCCTTTTATACTCATTTATAAAAATTGTCCCCACCCACACAAATTGCTGGCTCTGGTTATTGATGTCTTGTCCTTGTATGCCCTGGTTCCTCAAGGCCTCTTGACCTTGGCAATATTGGGCCCCTGCCACTGCTCAGCCCATTCCTTCTCAGGACCCCAGCTGGAGCATCAGCTCCATGAAGCCTCTACTTGCATTGACCATTCTCTGGTAACCAATCCTATACAATCTCTCTTAGACTACCTTTCCTTATGGCAAATCTTATGTTTCAATGAAATCCTCAAGGCAGAGTACTTGTTTCCTGTTGGTGTCTCCCATGACAGCTCATACAAAGGGATCATGGACCAATATGAGGGGTGTGTGTATCAAAGACGCTCCGTATCATCCAAGTCTTGGGTTCTTCCCTTTGACTCTTGCAGGGACTGGGTCACAGAACGAAGGTGATGGGGTCACTTAACAGGCTTGGTGGACAAAGCCCAGAAAAGAAATTGCACCCACTGCTGAACAACAAGAGATGGAGAGCAACACACAGCTCAAAGCCGGTCCCATGTGTCATTTACTGGTTGTGTTTTAACTTCTCTGAGTCAGTCTTCTGAGCTGTACAATGAGGATAACACTTAGTCTACTTACCTTATAAGTTTATGTGAGAATCAAATGAGATAATGTATGGGAAAGTGCTTAGAAGCACCCCACATACAAACAGTAGCTGGTGTTAGCTACCCATATGGAGTTGAAAAGAGCTCAGACAGGGGCCAACTCTTGGCCCTAGGGCGAAGGTGGGTTTTATTTCCTCTCTTGGGGAAGAAGGGGGAGGAGAGTTTTCCCATGCACACCAACCTAAGGAAGGGGTGGGTGTGCCCCCAGAGGATGGGGCTAGAAGAGCCAGATTATCATTCAGAAGAGCTCCTCCGAGTCCAATCCTGGCCCTGGGCTGCAGGGTGTGCTCATCATAGTCACTCCCTTTAAGGTGGAAGCACCTGCATGAATGGAGGCACATGGAGGTATCCGCTGGTATCCGTTCATGAAGAGGAAGGGGGAGCAGGTGCCCTGAGTGAGGGAGCAGAGGGCCAGGATGGCCGAACCTATACTCAATGCCTGCACAGGATTATGACTTGCAAAAGGCCTGGCTGGTACGACTCTTCTCCCAAGAAGGGTCAGGGGGCCCAGAGGCATTATTCAATGGCTGGTCCTTTAAATGTCCATCTCAAACTGTGACTCTTCACCTGGGGAGAGAAGGGATAGATGGCCAGGTAAACAATTGGTAAAGTAGGGCTCACCTTTTAGAGGCCAGGGAGAGGCATTATTTTTCATTTTGTTGTTCCTACAAGAGTAGGGGCCAAGGAGAATGGAGGGAGGGTAGGACTCCACTAGGAATTCCTGGAAACAGGCCTGAAGTTTCCCTGTCCAGCTGTGTTCTCTTCTCCAATCTTAAAGGAAGAGCAGAAACCGAGTTTCCCCATAGGAGAAATGACAATCCTGAATTTTGTACAATTTTTATTATTTTTAAAAAGAGTGAATGGTTACTTAGCTTTGATATAAATACAGCCTCACAGAAGAACATTCCTTAAACATGAAACTTTTCTGAGTGTGTGTCCCAACCATAGTTTAGAAGATGGTAACACAACCTATTAGGCACATGTCCAACTGCCCACAGAATAGCCTGACTCTGCAATAAAGGAGTTATTTTGGTAATTCAGCTACTCATTACCCTCATCCTAACTCTTTCCACAAAAATATCCAAGTAACTCAAGCTGCAGGAGGTTGTTTTCTTAAATGGAGCTGGCTTATTCATGATCTTCTGGGGTAAGGCTGCTTTGAGATTCTATATACCAAGATGCCCTGGCCCCCACAAGGAAACTGGCCACTTCTTCTGGTTTTATTTACACAAATATATGGTCCCAGGCTAGGAGCTTTGGCTAATGTCCTGTTAAGCAAAATGAAAAATTAGGTCCATCCCTCACCATCACAGTGGAAATCTTAGGCCATTATTGTGGGTTAAGGGTTGTCAGCCTGGGGCACCTCTGAGCCAGCCCTGCATTTGCTATGGCTGAGTGCAGCTCCAGAAACTGCGAAGGGTTTGGCACAACTGTCAAGTAGTGACGATTCCACATTGTCAGGTATGACTACCTTCATCCTCAACTTCCAGTCTTTGGTTTGAGGCAAAAGGGGGTAACTGACCACATGAATCCATTCTTCCTTTTCTGTGTGTGCTCAAGCACACCTCCCTCCCTCCTTCCCACTGTTCTCCAAGTATAAAAGGCCAGGCAAGGGCTGCCTGTCATGGAGTTCCCAGGGTAAATATGAATCACATCCTGCAGGCCCTGGGTAGATGGACTCTGCGGCTGTCAGCAGGGCCAGCCCAGCCTGAGGTCTCAACTGCGTCCTGTCTGGCCTTGGTCCACCGCCTTCCGGGTGAAGGGTTAGCGGGTTCCAATCTGACTCAAGTTGTCTGCCAGTGCTCACACTTCACTCTCCCACAGTAGGACGCTGAGATGCTCTGGTGAGCTAGTCATGATGCCACAAGAATGCATCACACACACCTTTCCCCGGGTGGTTGCTCTTTATTTAGGGGGAAGGCAAGGTGAGATACCAAGAAGGACCTAGCCTCCCCATGTCAAACCTGCAAAAACAACAATTGTTTCTACTCATCTTCATCAAGAATCTACCAGCAGACCAATACAGGAGGCATCCTGGATGTCTTTCTGATCCTATAGACCTGTAATTTCCTAGAGGGTACATATATCATATCTTTGAGAAGTCATCTCCTGCCCATGCACATCATGGATATGTCCCAAGCATGGCAGACATGGGAAAATGCTTCAGGGACAATTATACCAAGAGTCATGCTTATGAAAGTGGCTGTGTGGAGCCCTCCCCTCCATTTCAAACAAACTCCCTACCAATTAAATTACCTGATGAGGCCAAATCCCCTCTCTTGGAGTTCTCAGACTCCTTTCATGTGGAAAGTTGGTACCCCTGAAAGTTCTACCCCCCAATCCACATCTGGTCTCTAAGTTGTTCCACAGAGGGTAGGGCAGTGGCCATCATTCCCTTCCCTGAAATTTCCTCTTTGAAAGGGATCTATCAGCTGCCTATGTTCCCTCCCTAAGGAAGGGCCTGGTCAAGCCCTGTCACTCACCACCGGCCGGCTTATCTTCCGGGCTGTTTCGCAGGTGGTTCTGGCTGGGCTCTGTCGGGGGCTCCTCACTGGCAGGGCTGGTAACCCCGGGAATGGTGGGCAGGTCCCGCGGGGGTGTTTTGGTCACAGGCGAGTTCCGACACTCCATCAAGAACTTCCGGTCATAGATGATCCTGGTACCTAGCGGGGGGCAAGGATGTTGAAAAAGCCATCTCAAACCTCCCTGCTTGTTTTCCACTTCTTTGAGGCATGATTATTAGAGGCAGCAGGTTTATCTGCAAAAGCTGGATCAAGGAGGAGTGAGGCTGGGGTGCCTGGCTGGCTCAGCTGACAGAGCATGGGACTCAAGTTGTCTGCCAGTGATTTTGGGGTTGTCGATTTGAGCCCCACCACAGGGGTAGAGTTTACTGAAAATAAATGCCAAAAAAAAAAAAAGAGGAGTGAGGCAGATTCAGGGGTCTGGTTGCAGCCCTGCTCTGTTGCCTCTGAACCACCAATCTCATCATGTGGGCACTCTGATGGAAAAAGAGGCCTGGCAGCCCGCCACACTGCACCTTCTCCTCTCAGATCAGTGCATCCTGGACTCTCCCCTTAAAGTTGTCCAACTCACTAATCAGTGTTCAGTGTTATTACTCAGGACAATCATATACAATACTAGAGAAGATACATGTTTTTTTTTAAAGATTTTATTTATTTATTTATTTATTTATTTATTTATTTATTTATTCATCAATCGCGCACACACACACACACACACACACACAGACAGAGGCAGAGATACAGGCAGAGGGAGAAGCAGGCTCCATGCAGGAAGCCCGACATGGGACTCAATCCCGGGTCTCCAGGGTCATGCCCTGGGCCGAAGGCAGCGCTAAGCCGCTGAGCCACCCGGGCTGCCCAAAGATTTTATTTATTTATTTGAAAGAGGGAGAAAGCATGAGCGGAGAGGAGGGGATGGGGGAGAGGGAGAAGCAGGCTCCCCTCTGAGCAGGGAGCCCCATGCAATGCTCGATCCCAGGACCCCATGACTTGAACTGAAGGCAAACACTTAACCAACTAAGCCACCTGGGCACCCTGAGAAGGTACATTTTTATTTATTTTTCTATTCAGTCCTTATAGGACCTTCATGGGATATCCAGAATCTGTAACTCCATTTTACAGATGAGTAAAAAGAACAATTTTTTTAAAGGTTTTATTTATTTATTCATGGGAAACACACACACAGAGGCAGAGATAATGGGCAGGGGGAGAAGCAGGCTCCTCTATGTGGGACTCGATCCCAGGACCCTGGGATCATGACCTGAGCCAAAGGCAGATAGATGCTCAACTACTGAGCCACCCAGGTGTCCCAAGCAAACAGAAAATTAAGTGATTCCCCCAAATCAGTAAAAATGAGAACTCCTGCCTGAGCTTCGTGGACAGAAGTGATGCATGGGCTCCACATTCCCACTAAAGGCTCTCCTGCTAAGCCCGTCTCCCTTGTGACAGCTGCTCTGATGTGTTACCGCACTTCAGGGCTTGCCCATGATCTATGTTCTATCCACTCCCTCTTCATTCTCCTTTCCTGAGCATCACCCTAGGGTGAGGACCAAGTCTCATGGAGTTATTCACTATCCTTAAACCACACCCAGGACCTAGCCTGTGAGGGTGGTTGTCTGAGTGATATCTTAAAAAGGAACATTTTCTAAAGTCCAGGACTCAATTGGTTTCATCAAAGAACAATGATTAGGGAGAGGTGATTCATGTTGTTTCCTTGTTTACTCAGAATTACCTCTAAACACAAGGAAGGTAGTAATTAGTAACATATCTTAAACACCTCCCTCACACTCCTGATTCAGCCTTTTCAACAAAGGGCAGGCCTCAGGCTCAAATCCTTCAGCAGGCAATGGAATCCAGCTAGAATTTAAAACTGCCTTGGTGTCATTATATTTCTTTTTATAGTTACCTTCTATTTATGGCAAGTGAATCTGGTTTTCCATATATAGTTGTGATATCAAGTTTCCTTTTCATATACGATATAATTGAATATTATAATAGTATATATGTTATAAATAATGCACATAAGATAAAATAACAAAAACTAAGTTAAAAAGGTAAAGGATACAAAGACAAATACTAAAATATACATACAAATAGAAGGCAAGGTACAATACAAACTGCAGATGGAATGCGAGTGCTGGAGTTTAGAAGCAAGGATCAAAGACTTCAGGAGTGCCCTTCCTTATCAATAGACCTGAAGAATTTTCCCTACTTGAGGGCTACGATGAGTGACATTCCGAAAGTGGGGATCCATGTCTCAATGTTGAGCAGGGGCTCTGTGAGCAGCACCCAGGAGAGGAACCTGTTTGCACCCCAGAGATCTGAGCAGGAGTGCATGGGGTGTAGGTCATTCTGCTGAGGGCTGGAATGCTGAGAAGCACAGAAATGGTTAAGAGATACCAGAAGGTGCACTTGGCCTACTTGCATGTCCCCATCTGACTGCAGCCCTGCCTGGGCAGTTACCCAGTCTTGCTCTCCCTGCCTGAGAGGCAGTAATGCCCAAGCCTTGTCCACCAACACCATGTGAACTACGGTTCACACTAACATTTCTTAGGGGGAGGGTGGAAAGCAAAGAACACAGAACCCAGGCTGTGCTGTAGGCTCTGCTACCAACCAGCCGTGTGACCCTACTGCCCACCGCCCTCCGCTCCTCCCCTATCTGGGCCTCAGTTTCCTCATCTGTAACATGAAGGGCTGAGAGGAGTGCCTATGAGCCCAAGGGGCTCTAAATGAAGACTTAAATGGAGCAGTGCCTTCTCCTTGAGGGTAAATGCTCTGGCTTCAGAGACATACCACTTTTCTTTGTTTCTTAATCCTCAAGGTTTGGCAAGAATCTCCCCTGTCCTTGCTTCCCTTCAGCCTTGCTGTTTTGTTGCTTTGTTCACCACAGAATGGGGAACTGACCACATCAGAGTGGAACCTAAGACTTGGAGATTCAAGGATCTCAAAAAGAATCAGGGTAGAGGGGAGTGCCTGGGTGGTTCAGCTGGTTAAGTGTCTGACCCTTTGTTTTTGTTTTTTTTTAAAGATTTTATGTATTTATTTGAGAGAGGGAGAGAGAGAGAGAGAGAGAGAGAGAGAGAGAGAGAGAGAAAGAGAGAAAACACGTGCATGCATGAGCAAGAGGAAGGGCAGAGGTAAAGAATCTCAAGCAGATTCCCAGCTGAGCGCAGAGCCTGACTTGGGACTTGATTCCACTACCCGAGATCATGACCTGAGCTGGAACCATGAGTCAGATGCTCAACTGATTGAGCCACACAAGTACCCCTGAGCATCTGATTCTTGATTTCAGTTCAGGTCATGATCTCAGGGTTGTGAGATCAAGCCCCATATGGGGGTCTGACCTGGGTGGTGTGGAGTCTGCTTAAAATTCTCTATCTCCCTCTCCACCTCCTTCACTTCTCTTCTTTTCTAAAAAAAACCAAACAAACCAAAAAAAAAAACTGGAGATCCCTGGGTGGCTCAGCAGTTTGTCTGCCTTCAGCCCAGGGCATGATCCTGGAGACTTGGGATTGAGTCCCGCATCAGGCTCCCTGCATGGATCCTGCCTATGTCTCTGCCTTTCTCTCTGGGTCTCTCATAAATAAATAAATAAAATCTTTTAAAAAATAAAAAAATTAATAAATAACAATAACAATAATAATAATAATAATAATAATAATAAAACAGAACCAGGGAGTCAGCAGCTCCTGGAGAAGCTCTTTAGAGATTATTAGCCCCCACAGATTTTATTGACATTGTGGTAAAATACAAGTAACATAAAATTTACCACCGCAAGCATTCCTAAGTGTACAGTTCAGTAGTGTTAAGTACAGTCATGGTGTTGTGCAACCAATCTCCAAAACACTTTCATCTTGCAAAACTGAAACTCTATACCTGTGAAATAGCAACTCCCATTTCCCTTCCCCCTAACTCTTGGAAACCACTATTCTATTTTCTGTCTCTATGAACTGGACTGCTCTACATACCTCATAGAAGTGGAATCATACAGTATTTGTCTTTCTGTGACTAGCTTATTTCACGTAGGCTAATGTCCTTGAGGTTCATCTATACTATTGACTATGTGTCAGAATTTCCTTCCTTTTTAAGGCTGAATAATATTCCATTGTATAGATATACCACATTTTGTTTATCCACAGACAGGTAGGTAGGTTCCTTCCACATTTTGGCTATTGTGAATAATACTGCTGTGATCACGGGTGTGCAAATGTCTCTCCGAGACACTACTTTCAGTTCTTTGGGGGTATATATTAGGAAGTGGCACCAGGCAATTTTTAAATCATTAATTATTCTTAAAAAAGAAAAAGAAAGAGCCTCTGTGCCTTTGTCCTACACCTATGGCAGTTGTTTAAAAATAAGAATCCTCATTTAAATGAATAAAACCCAGAAACTAGATAACAGCAGAGGTGAGACCCAAGACACCCACCGTCAGAGTATTTTAGTTGGGGAGGGAGGCTGCAGAGGCAGGGGATGGTAGCATTCAGAAAGTCAGCTGACAAGGCACCAAGCCTCGGAGGGGACCACTGAGTCATCTGGCATCAGTGAGGGAGTATGAGATGGAGACCAAGGTAGTAGAAATGTTTCCTATAGAAGAAGCGTTAGCTTTTTAATCCTTTCTTCTTCCATCCCTTTATGGGATCCACCACCACACAGCTTCAGCCAACAGTGATCTTCTGGAAATTCCCTCCGTCTTCCACAGATGAGACAAACAACAAAACATACAGTCTCATATTGTCAAAAATAGGCACCCTTGGCTGAAATGCAGTTTTCTGGAGCTGGGGACTTGGCCTGCATACAGGGACAGGAAATGGAAACCGGGTGGGTTGGGGGGCTATACTAAGGTCCCAGCAAGGTGCTAAACAGTAGCAGCTGGAGGGTGCTGGTCAGATGTGGGCCTCTGGGCTATGTGGGTATTACACCTAGCTGTCTCCACATAATACTCTACAGGGCCTACTTTCTCTATATATATTAGGGAAAATGACCCAACTCCAGTAGGCCTCTACAAACAAGAGCATGAAGAGCTTTTGAGGATCTATGTGGCTTCAAGATACCAGAGCCAAGACATGTTTTTTCCCTGCTTCTTCTCTCAAAAATCAAGCAGACACCAAGAAATAAAACAAGAAATAGAAGCACATACTCAT